AAGACAAATTTTATCCGAAAAAAATGTGAATAATGTATTTTTGTGCAATACACCTCCATTCATAGAAAAATTAGTTCCATTGTTCAAAAGGAAGAAAAGAGATTCCTGGTATCTACTGGGACGCTTGATGTTCAGGACTATGATGACTAAAATGGATGAAAAAAACCTATGTCTCATTTACCAGTTTCTCTTCATGAAGGTGAATAAAGCGATTAAATGGGGGGAGAATTTCATACATTTATTCCCCTTAATGAATTTGAACAAAGCAAGAACTACAGTTTTAGCAGAATAATGTCGTACCATCATTTGTTTCGTTGGCTTCTCATCAGCTGCTTACAGCCTAAATAAATTATGCGGTTTATGTACAGACATGTTTGAACATACTTGCAAATTTTACATGTTGTCAGTTGACAGAAAATTCCACAATTTGTAAACAGTGCTCAGAAGATTGCGCTTATATAGAATTTGTGTAAATTGTCTAAAAAAAGAAACGCCCCCACTGTTTATTCTTTTGAATTACTGAACCGATTAGTGACTCTTCATCACGAAATAACCAGAGCAATGATTAAAGTATAATTCTATGAGGAGTGTTTAACAGCTGCTATTCCACTCCATAAATCTGTTCGTTCACACTACATACTGACTTTCTTTAGCAGTCTTTGACGTTTTGCAGTTTATCAAATCGAATGTACTGAACAACTTGTCTCAAACTCGAGGACAGAAGCTGGTTCCTTTGAAAAGTTTTTTAACTGTATAGATTACGTCCAATCAAAAATTAGCCTAATGATTTTGAAAACCCTTTCAAAATGTGTGATGTTACGAATCTCCAAAAAAATTAGTAAGTCATCGAACATCAAAGAGTACTGGAGAGCTGTTTTATGATGAAATTTTTAGTAGTACTCACGCATGATTCCACCAAGGATTGCAACGATGACTTCGAGGTTACGAGACGATTCTGCTTACCATTCAGCCATCAGGTTGAAAGAGGAAGATTCATAAATCCTACCTTTTATGAATTTTAATGGTTACCAACATACTTCAAGATAGACTCTCTTCAATTCTGTTAGGACGTCTTAACCTGTGGGGTTCACCGAGTTGACTTTGAGAACAGATAATCTTTGGGTGCATTGGATACCAGTAGTATTATATCCAAAATCGATAGAAACAGGACTGCATAACTCATTGGACTCCAAACCAGTGGTTGAATAACCAACCGCCCCACCTAGCAACCTGGATTCGAGTCCCGGTGGAATGATGAGTGTGTACTGCTGAAAATTCAAGAACTAGAATGGAAAAATATTCAGTGTTTTCTGGTTTTTTGACAGTTTCCCAAACAATTACGACTTCTGATGCAAAAACCTTAAAGTCAGTCAACACTTCACAAACTCTAAACTTGTAAGTCTCGATAAATTAAGACTTTTCTTCGACTTCTCACTGATATCTGTTCAGTCATCTTAGTCAATGCATGGGGATATTCTGCTAGTATTCAATCAAGCCCTGGTTTTCATTTTCATTGAGTTCAACCTAACTATCTAATAAGCTTTAGTGTCTAAAGCATTAATCAGGCTGACTAACCGATTAAGTTTCGACGTAGGACTTTGTATAGAAATGCATCAATTCAAGCTGCTACACTCCATATCACTACATTAGGGTAAAGAAAAAGAAAAAATTTTAAAGTAACTATCATAGGCAGAAATGTAAAGAATAAAGAATAGTAACACAGAGTGACATGTGGACCTAATGGATAAGAGAAATTACTAAGAGTGGATACGTCTGCACAACTGAAAATCATTTTAAGGCACATTATGAAAAGTTTCAAGGCACTGATTCTTAGAGTCTACAGTATCTCATCCAGGAAGTCTACATCTACCTCAGTGATTCAGACAAAGACGTACTGGACTGATGCCAAGTTTTGACCCCACTACCCCTAACTTCTTTCCAACCTAATCCTACTTCAGCTAACTTTATTCGACGTATCTCTGCCGTCTAAATTGATGCAGCTTCGTAACATCATCGATTAACATGCCCTCCCTATCTACTACTCTAAGTCCAACCTCAGTAATACTTCCTACAGTATACCATTAAACACGGAAGACAACTAGCCTCTTCACGTCCCCTACTTCCATCTATTACATCTAATAGCCATAAATATGGAAGAAGTAAAGTGCAGTAGCTATATGTCACAACTAAGCTTGAGATAACGTAGGTTGGCAAATGACACATAGGGCCTTTTAATCCATACTCAAATTTCGCTAGCAATCAATCCATTATGGTTGACTCAACTCCCAAAATTATTGAAGTGACCAACACGCCCTACCACTTTACTCCTTGTCTTTAAACTGCTAGTGGGTGCATGCCAGTCCCGAAACATCATCTCATAAAGGGCGGATGGCACGCCAAACACACTAAGATTTCTGCTTCAGAACAATTCTAGGAATAACAGACTTATTCACATTTGGTGAGAGCCTGTCATTTTAAATTAACTTTTAGAAATTATACTTTATTTAAATCTGTAATAAACTGAGATTGTGAGGTTGAGTGCATATGGAATTTATCAGTAAAACAGACCATTCTCTGCCTTAACTATTTCAAGCTATTATAATTATGTAGACATATGCAGAAATAATATAAGTAAAATCTCAGCCTAATTGAAATTAGTAATTCCAACTTTTCGTTTGGCAAAATGCCGTGAACTTCTTCAGAGAAAGTGTTTAAAATCTCCGAACGCAACGCTAGAATTACCGATTTCGAATTCGTCGGAATTTTACAAGTTTAATTCTTACACATGTCTGCCTCTCACTCGGTGCTCAATTATTTTGAAACTTTCCGGTCAAATCTTGATCATAGATCATATGCATTATTATTAATTCTTTAACAGGTAACAGATAATTATTAGTTCAGCTGCAAAAGTTATCATTGGAATTTAAATAAAATTGTGTTAAATATTTTGAGATGTAAACAAACGCGTATTCATACTTTGATAGTGGATCTGAAATCCTCATAGATACACACAGAGTCCCTCAATATCGTACAAACGGACTTCGCACACGCCATCTGTACATAGCTGAAGCATAAGCTATTCGGGATTTGAAACCGGACCTCTGCATTCAAAAGCTCTACATACATTCACTCGCCCTACCCTGTCCAGAGTAAAAGTTCTTACTATAATTCTGCTTCTTCTGTTTTATCATGTAAGTTTACCATTATTATTGTTATTGCTACAATTATTTTATTATCAATATTATTCCCGTCATCAATACTTTATTACTACTCTATTACTGTTTACTAATCGCATTGCTTTTTCATACAGATTTTATAAAAAAAAACACTTGATCGCCTTTCCATTGTTTCCTGTCCATTCTACATGAGCTTATTGGTTAGTCTGTATCTCACACTTATTATGTCATGCCAACTTCTGTCTGTTTCCTAACTTCCACTTAGTCACATCGTCTAGACTACACCTTACATTACGTAATACTTTTCTCGAGGAAAAATTTCACCAGTATCTGATTGGTCTAATGATTTCTTTGTTAAATCTAAATACAATTGTACAGCTCCTAAAAATGAATCGTCGAAAAGAAAATTTTCTTTGCTGTTTACGCCTTTTTCTTATGACTCAATATGGGAATATTTCGTTCATAGATTTATTAATTTACTTATATTATTATAGCTTGATTCCACACAGTATTTTTGGTACAAGTATGGAATTTTCAGCACGTCATATCGGTAGCCCAAATTTAGCATGCCGACCAATGATTTCAGGTGTGCGTCGGCCGGGGATTGAACCCTGGACAATGTGCATGGTCGGCAAGCGTCCTAACCTCTGTGCCACCAGTGCACAGATAGACAGATAGATAGATGGAGCGAAATAAGTCATCGACCTCTCAGCGAGTTAGGAGAAGGAATAAAAGTTTTCTATAAGGACAAATTAACCCAAAGAAACTATGCCAATAAGTAATACTGTTTGACCGTATGGGATACATCCAATAAAGAAACTAAAATCAAAATATATACCACTACAGTGCACAAGTCGGGCTTTACTATTAAATGTCCTTCTCACAGGTCACCTTACAAAAAATTCTGATTTTTAATGATTATCTTAGTGCCAATAAATGAACTTTAATGTAAAATGAAGATAATTTAGGAATGGTTAATTTGACGTAAACTAAACTGTCCAGTGTAGCTAGTGTATCTACAATATCGTAAAATAAAGTTTTTTGTTTTAAAACTAAATATTTTAGCTTGTTAAGATACTGAATATATGCACAACAATGGAATTCCCATTTTACTCCATTAAATGTTACACGTAGTACACTGATCAACGATAAGTATATAGTAGTCGGATTTTATACATTTCTTAAATATAGATTACTCCATTAATTAAACTTATTAACAGTCTGCTTCCACACCTCTGAAAGAGTTTTTATGTCATATTCCCAGGAAATCTGTGCACATTCATAATTCTTTTATTTTTAAGTGATCGAATGCAATGTCTAAACTTTTTTCTAGGCTTAAGTTTCAAAATTACTGATGCATTCATGACAATTACAAACATCCATGGGTTCATTTACAGAGATTTGACTGATTATAAGTTGAATCATGAATTGATTTCAATAAGAAAACCCCATTGACCATTCAACCCTGGGATCGAATCCAGTACACATTAATTCTGACTTCTGCCAAGTTTATATACATATATATATATATATATTGCTGTGTTCACCTCGTAACCTGAAGATCCTTGGCAGGACCTGGATGCATACTTCTGAAGAGTCCTAAACTAGGAAGAAACCTCCTGGTTTTCAATGTTTTTGTAATTGAAGTCAATTCACAAACCAACTTGCAGTCACAAACCTCCTAGTACAGTGATAATAACACTAGAACACTTGGTGAATGGAATTTATTCAGCGCCTAGATTTAGACAATCTGAAATAGTGATGCAAACGTCACAGTTAACTTACTTTTAATTACAATATTATAATAAGTTGTAGAAGACTTACATTAAAATGAAATTGATAGAGAAGTAGCCTTCAGCTTAAGTGTTACTTCAATGTGGATTAAAACTGTTTTACCATAATCAACAAAAGTGATTATAAAAGATGTCTACAAGTACTATTCCATTCTAATATCTGGTGAACATTTTGGCTTAATCAACCTATCAAAACCAATTCAAAAAAACAAAGAAAAGTCGAACTGGTCACAAAATAATCTTATAAAAGTTTTGCAGTAGTTATGATCTGTGAAAATTTGTGCATTCTTCAATATTGTATATGTAAAGTTATCCATGAACGCATATTTAGAAAATCTATGTAATCTGTTAATAAACTAGGTGATAATTTCGTCTCATGACCATGAGTAATTGTCAGTTGGTTAGACGGGTGCTTTGAAGCAGAACAGAAAATTATCTCAACTTCTAAACACTCTAAAGCCTTGGATGAACTACAGTATGTTTGAGAAATCATTGTTCTTAGACATTTCCATCGACTTCACATCACAATCATGTGAACCGGTGGTTCAGCAGTAGAACCGTTGCCAACCACATACGTAGTCGGGGATTCAACCCCTCCTTAAACTCTATGAGCTGATAGTAAGGCTAGTAAATGGGAAAGGCTGAGCGCAAGGCTAGTAACCCAAACCCTGGAAAAATAAAACCACAGCTATCGAAACATCAAAGCTGCAGCTTGATGCCTCATGTTCCATTGGGGACGTAAAGGAATAAAATAATTTTTTAAATACATCGTAATTATTCAGTCTATGTGCATGTAATAAACAAAAATATATGGTCCAGTTGTTACTGAAATAATTGAATCCTATTAAGAAATTCTACTGAGGTTTTAATTCAGCAAATAAATTGTAAATAACCGACTTCGGGAACCTCCGAATAAGGCGATAAAAAAATGTATTCTTTTGCAATGATGGTAATTAAACGTATTCCTTTTTATTAAGCTAAATATTTTAACTAAGTGATATTGTGAAGAAGAAAACTTACGCAACACTACTTCCGTGAAAATAAGTCCTGAATCAAGGTGTATCACGTCGGGAATTAGTGGATACGTACTGCTAAAGACTCCTTCACTCCTCAGCAAGAACAAAACAGCTATTCAGCGTTTATTCAGCTGTTAAACTAACGTTGCCTAATAATGTATGCCGTCTTGAGCTAAAATACATTTTGGAGATCTCGATCAGATTGAATAATAAAGGGAAAATAAATTTAATTCACTGACTTTTAGAAGTTAGAGATTCCTGAATTCGGTCACTTAGTTGTTGAGGAGGCTGTATGGAACACGGCTCACTTCTGTAGCTCCATATTACTTCTGGTCACGCAGCATCAACAAAGACCTCTTTTAGAATCATATATAAAGTACGACCAAGCCGTTCCAAAGGATTACGTCCGTATCTTCTTCATACAGTGGTGCCTTTAGCAACCTTGAAGCAGAAACCTGAACTTTGTCTTCAGAGACGTTTTGTCCAGTCTCTTTCACTACAGTGGCCTTAGTTTCAATTTAGTCTTCGTGAATCATTGTATGACAAACTGTATGTAGTCCTTATTTACTTCTGTTAATTTTTGTAATTCATTTTCAACTCTTTGTTTCTGATCATTTATTTCCAGGCTATTATTCATCAATTGATCAGTTAGTTGCCAACCCTCTTGATTACGTGGGATTATTACTAATTTTCCAAACACTGTTATTACTCGTACACTTTGGTTTGTTTTTGTCGTTAACTGGCAATAACCTCCGACCTCTATAGTCAACTAATACTGTGCGTATGCATAAATCGCCTCAATAACTGTACAGCTTTGAAGTGAAGTTACTAAAAGAGATATCTCTTTGCTGACTTATGTGTTCTTAATTGCATTACGTGAGAGTTTGTCATGCCTTGAACTTATTTCCATCTTGTAAGATAATTTTACTAGTGTTGAGAAAACAGTTATGTCGAAGTAATTTTGTAAATAATAACTAGAATCCCTTTTCTCTTCAAATCACTTTTTCCTCTCTGAATATCTCATCAAGTTTTTACCTCACTGCCTAATCGATAAAATTCATTATTATTTTTAATGGAAATATGATATTAATCTGTAAAGTAGCGGTAGTCAGTTTTAAAATGGAATAAGCGACTTATAGCTCATGTTGACAGTTGACATCGGTGTTTGAGTCTGTGGAACTTTAGTAACTAGGGGCAATCTCAGTTGTATACGTCTATGCTTTTGAATGGTAGGTAATGACTGATATTAAAACAGGCTACTTGCTGAGTGCGTTGCTGTCTTTCATTGCAATTGAAGCGCTACCACCTAAGAAGTCTTCCAATATAAATCATCTAACTTTATAGAAGTATTTATGCAACATCACACTTCGCAGAAAATTAGGTTCAAACTATCGAAGACAGGATTTGCTAATGGCTATTGAAAAACACAAAACTACTGACTGAAAGTGTTTTGTAAATCAAATACATTCATACGCCTAGTCTTGCGATCATTTTGTTCTATTTAATAATCTCTAGTTTTATTCTGAAGTATTTTTTTCAAAAAACAATGCATACAAAGAGATTAGACTTCTATGAGAATAGCTTAGTCGAACCGATTGAAATGACGTAAACAGCACATTCATTTACGACAGTGTTTCATTTTACTGCATATAATAATATTCAAGGGTTTAAACCTCTAAATTTCTGTCTATTTCTTTATTCTTTATTTTCAATTTTGCGTCCAATAATTTACATAAATTACTTCGCTTGTTTATGATAAATTGTTTTTTTTCTAAAAATCTCATTTCTATTCTTTCTTTCTCTTTACCAAATGTCCAGTAATACCGCAGCTTAGTCGATCGATTCACTAGCGTTCACCTCGTCCTCGTTTTTCTAGGTTTTCTACTGTTTCAGTCTGTCTATCAGTGTTTATCTCCTTTGCACATTGTTGTCTTGCATTATAGTTATACGAAGTTTCGAGGTAATCTAACCGTTAGTTAATTGTATCGAACCTTTTTCACGACGGTTTGTCAACGCTGATTTACAAAATAAAAACTTCAGGTGTGTCTGTGTGTATGCGTACCTTCTTTCTTCTTTATCTTTTTTATCCATCAAGTGAACTTCCTCTTTTTATGGGTCCATCAAAAAAATCCTCAGTGTAAGTTTCCAATATTCTAAATACTCTTTATTAAAAGAATGTTATCATAATTGATGAATTCTAATAACAAGTCATGATCGATATTGACCATGAACCCAGCTATGCAGACAAATACTTACCGATGAAGGTAACCCGCGGTGGAACTGAGTCACAGATTGATAGAAATCAAAACTCATGATTCATTAGATTCCAACTCAGTAGCTAATGAACAGCAAACCTTCTAGGGTTTCAATAAGAAGTCGCCGACTAAATATCTGGTATAGATGTCGCTCCGGAAGCGTAAACTGGAATTAAATAATTATCCGCAGAGTAACTTCAGTGGTTTTTCAGTGATTTAACAGGTACTGATCTCTTCATGGTGAAATGAAGTACTGTTTGTTAATTTATTCTAAAATCCCCCTGAAGTTTTTATTTTACTTTCTCACTGACAGGTAAAGTACTCACTGGTAAATAGAACAAACTTTATTTAGCACTAAGTGTCGGCTAATATTAGACTTTGATGACAGAATACAACTAAGACATAAATTCCCACTTAGACTAAAAGTTATGACCTCCAAGAATATTGTAGTCTTTGTATACAGAATTATCTTTCCAAAGTTTTCTATATTTTAACATTTCTTAGGAGTGTGGTGAAGACGTTTTAACTGAGAATGTTTTCGCATATCTCCAGTATAGTTTTCGTTCCATTTAATCCAGTTAACCCCCCTCCCCCGTCTTAAACACATGCACTACGTAATATGCAGACAAAAATGATGATAGAATATTTGCTAACCACGCACGTGGTCGATTACTGGCCGACGAACTCATAAACCCCACTTAGCTGGGAGTAATTCTGGTAAAGATTAAAGGTTGAAAGTGTGGCTGGCAACGTAAAAAGAAGCCACCACTACTGAAAATTCGAAGTTGAAAAGTTTGGAACCCTCCGAACACAAAGGGATGAAAGAAACTCTGCAAACAGATGAGAATGTCTTCATTGCGTAGAAAAAAGAAAAAAAACAAATCAGACACTCACCTATAGTAGTGATGACAGTTGTCGAGAAATAGAATGCTCCAGCGAATTTCCATTGAGTACCCGCTTTATACGGTTTCATTTGTATGCCTAATTGTGTAATCCTTTCAAAATCATCAATTGTTATATTGTATTTGGTTCGTAAACTCTCAGCACTATCTCTTAAGCGTACATCTTCTGTTACCTCAAAATCAGACTCCAAGGCATCGAAAATAGCTGCTCCAAATAATAAATAAGTGAATGTTACTACAATCAACGAAAGTGTACGAACATTTTGTCGTTTCATATTTAAACATATTCCTTTTCTCTTATCTTTTTTTCAGCAAAATATAGTGTATTTTATGCACATATAAAATCTCCATTGCTTATAGTTTTCCATACACACACAACAAAAAAAGTTTCATTCATTTATTCACTGGACAAACTTCCTTTACGGTTACAGAATAATTTTGTTTATAAATTTCTATCCATTCTGATAATATGGTTTGTGAAAAAAAAGGAATCGATTTCTCCCATTTCCTTTTTCGGAAGTATACAATATAGGCAATAACCTTGACAACAGTGTTATGATTGGTTTAAGAGAATCTTCTTAAGCTGACAGGTATTACAATGACAGGAAAATTATTCTGTGGACTGACTTACTGTCTGATTTATGACTTCAAAACCGCTACTACTAGTGTGTTACTTGAAATGACTTCTATGCAAAATACTAAAGATGATAAAGTTGTTTTTACTTCTGAGATATTTTCTGGAGTAATTATTTATATTACTACTACTACTTATCGTACTGTACTACACTATTCAATATAATTGATCTCAAAAGGGTAAAATATTTCACAACGATTCTTACAGTAGTTATACTTACGTATTATACCATCTCAATGCGTCGATAGTTTCGGGGTAGAATGCTTTCATGTGGCTTGGGTTAAATTCCAAGCCCATGCACTCCTAAACGTCACATGGTTTACAAGCCGGTAATAAGTCTATAAAAGAGGTACAGCTGCATGTGAAGCTGGCGATCCCACCCTGTTAGTTAGTTAGTTTGTTTGCTTGCTTGTTAGTTAGTTAGTTAGTAAGTTAGTAAGTTAGTTAGTTCGTTCGTTCGTTAGTTCGTTAGTTCGTTCGTTAGTTAGTTAGTTAGTTAGTTAGTTAGTTAGTTAGTTAGTTAGTTAGTTAGTTAGTTAGTTAGTTAGTTAGTTAGTTAGTTAGTTAGTTAGTTAGTTAGTTAGTTAGTTAGTTAGTTAGTTAGTTAGTTAGTTAGTTAGTTAGTTAGTTAGTTAGTTAGTTAGTTAGTTAGTTAGTTAGTTAGTTAGTTAGTTAGTTAGTTAGTTAGTTAGTTAGTTAGTTAGTTAGTTAGTTAGTTAGTTAGTTAGTTAGTTAGTTAGTTAGTTAGTTAGTTAGTTAGTTAGTTAGTTAGTTAGTTAGTTAGTTAGTTAGTTAGTTAGTTAGTTAGTTAGTTAGTTAGTTAGTTAGTTAGTTAGTTAGTTAGTTAGTTAGTTAGTTAGTTAGTTAGTTAGTTAGTTAGTTAGTTAGTTAGTTAGTTAGTTAGTTAGTTAGTTAGTTAGTTAGTTAGTTAGTTAGTTAGTTAGTTAGTTAGTTAGTTAGTTAGTTAGTTAGTTAGTTAGTTAGTTAGTTAGTTAGTTAGTTAGTTAGTTAGTTAGTTAGTTAGTTAGTTAGTTAGTTAGTTAGTTAGTTAGTTAGTTAGTTAGTTAGTTAGTTAGTTAGTTAGTTAGTTAGTTAGTTAGTTAGTTAGTTAGTTAGTTAGTTAGTTAGTTAGTTAGTCAGTAAATCAACAGCAGTCTGATGATAGTTTTTCAGCGCATCTTTGCCTCCCTTCTTCTCCACTCACTCTCTTCTTCTTTAAGGTATCACGTAAAATATTTCACATTTGTCAATAGCCGTCTGTGTAGATGAATTTACTTGCTTTTGTGGAGATAAGTACGTAGTCTGTACTTGTAGAATGTTGTCTAGACGTGCACAAGTATATCTCTCATTATGGTTTTCAAAAGAGTTAATTACATTGAACAGTAGCTCAGTTCTTGAGTACCTTTTCCTTAAAAATCACTCTTCATCAGTAGAAAATTCTTCCAAATCAAACCCATAGTAAGGCCAAATCAGTCGGAACGTCTCCGGGTACATCTTCATCTCATAGAAGAGGTTCTGTGGTGACAGCTGGCTGTTAGTCGGAATTGCCGGACAGTAATTTACGTCAACGTTTGTGTCCCCAATATTGGTCGTGAGAAAAATTAGAACAAAGGCTTTGCGTAGGCGGATACAGTTAACATATAAATGATCTGATATTCAAGAAACAGCCACAAAGAGATGCAAGGTTAACTTTCTGTGGGAAACAAGCAATCAGAGGATTATGTCTTTCTGCTAACAATAATCTATAATATGTATATGAAAATCTATAAATATGTGTTGATTTCCTTATTAAACGATCTGTTGCTTGGTCCTTGTCTTCTGTTGTTACAGTTCTTGCTATACACTGTGCAAACAGAAAGGATTTGTCCTTAAACTTAAACCTTTTTTAATTCGTAAAATAATTTGGTATGTAATCCATACTTACTCAATGTTTTCCTCTCATATTTTTGTTTCGAACTCTAAACTTCAAAGTATATTCGGAATCTCCAACTCGTTTGAACAATATTCCTGTTTCCAAGTGCCTGTAATTTTTATCATTTATGAGTTATCGAGATAAAATTTTCTTACTTAAAAGAGATTTATAAATACAGCATAGATAAATAAGTAAAACTGATGAAATAACTACTTTAGATAACAGAAATGCAACCCTACATCTGTTGTTAAGAAATCACTGGCTGTTTAGCTATCTCTCGAAATGAACCTTTATTGGGTTTTTTTCATCTGTTTAATATTCTATATTCTGGTAATCTACCTTGTTTCTTTTGAGGTTCGTAATAGAATCCTCATCAGTTACTCGCGTAGTCCAGGTTCCACTCCTCACTGACCCACTTTTAAATCTCGCATAATAAGATTTTCCTGGAAAATAACGTGTACTAAATCTTTAACTTGACCTTAGGAATAGGAGTAGGAGTAGGAAATCAACAAAAAATTCTAAAGGAATGAAGATACCCAATGAGCCATGGGGAAAGATAAGGCAATTCAGAGGATAAAATTGTCGTCATTATCTAAGCCATCTTCATAGGCACTGCATCGTAATCATATTTACTGAAAGCGTATAGCAGACCACTGTTGAGTAAAAGGCGTGTATGGCATAACTGACAGATCTGTTCAGAAGTGGCTTCTGAGGATAAGAGGAGATGGAGTGTTAATTTCTAACACAGTGGAAGTAAGGGTTTGAATCTTGATTAAGTGAAAATTGCTATTAGACGAGAAGCAAGGCAGTTGAGTGACCACTGTACAAGTTCGAATAAAGTTGGGAAAGTAAACTGGTAAAATGCACACGAGTGACACATAAGAGTGGTAATAATAAACTACTTGGTAAAAAATTGAAACAGCCAAGTAGCAAGGAGTTTAGGTGGAGGTAAAATAATAAATTGGATGAACCTCTCAGCTTACAAAGTCCCCGTTGGCAAACATTCTTCTTCCTGTCAGAAGTAATTTCAGTTATCACAGTGTGTTGGATTCATTTGGACTAGTTAATTTAATCAATGGTTTTAAAATATCCTAGGATTTAATTATCACTCTGGATATTACTTCTCTCTTCACTAATGTCCTTACCACTGAAATTAAGTGGTTTCTGCACATGGTCATCAATGATAATAATTTAGATGTGGGTATTCTGATTCACTACTTAGTAGAACTATGGCTGAGGTACACTTTTAATGTTCAGTTCAAGTTCAGTGGCAAACTATGCAGGCGAATACTATACGTATTACTGAAATTCTTCTAATTTTTCCATTTTTGGAAGTTGTGAAATAATTACTCCAGGACAACTATAATATTCCGCCTTCGTAAACAAAATCTTCATATTAGTTCTGTCGTACATTATGAAACTGAGTCAGGGTTGACCGTGGGTTAATCAAGTCATGCAAGAGGACAGCTACTCCCCTGTGACATTGACTGGCGGTTGCACTAAGAACATCATGAATTAGGAGAAGTTGGAATTCATAGGCTACTTGGTCAGGTCGCCATGGCTGAAAGTTCTACGAGCTCGCCTTGTAACCAGAAGGTCCTGGAGGCGCACAACTGAGATTTCCTCAACTACTGCGAAATAGCTGTCCAATACTGCCAGGTTTTCCAGTGATTCTCTAACCGATGTCAGCACATGATCAATCCTGTAAACAATCGAATCCCTGCAAACCAACATGTGAATGATTTATTTGTTTAATCTTATGGGACCAGTTGATTGATCATTCATCAAGCGAAATTCATTAAGGAATAACCTAATGATGGATTCCCCGGGTTTTAAATGAGTGATAACGACTATCGGCACCAAACAAGCTACGTGTGATGGAAGTGACTCACCGATTGTATTGAATCATTATCATATTTTATTGGTGACTGACTCTGAATCAATGAACATGAGTTATATGAGTAAAACTTGGGCACTGTGACAGTAAGTAATTCCATATTAGTTTGTTTATTAGATATATCACACGGTGAAACAGTATTATTTACTGGATGACGTTTCGAACAAAATTTATTGTTCATAATCAGTTGATATGAGTTCAACTCAGTTATAAGATCACTGTTATCTGCTACCTACTGTCTACGCCAGTAATTTTATTTGCATTCCTGAAACTATATTTTCCTCTGTGCTAATTAATATATCGTTGCTAGCAAATTTCTCGATCAAAAGCAATTTTCTTAGTAAAAGTAGTATATAACAAACTACTCATCCGCCTACTCTAACAAAATACCTAGTAGTCTTCAGACCATAATCTATAAATTCTGTATATCTTACAACAATGAACTGGTCACCTGATCGCCTTACCATCAATTTCATCACAAAGAGGTATATATATATATATATATATATATATATATATATGTAACAACAGAAGACAAGGGCCAGGCAACAGATCGTTTTATTACGGAAATCAACACGTATTTATATAAATTTCACATACATTATTATAGCCTAGTCAAGTAGACAAACGCAGTCTTCTGACTGGTTGTTTTTGAGTTCCTCGGAAAGTGGAGCCATCTATCTGCGAATTATATTTGTCCACGTTTAAGTTTGCTGTGATTGGTTGTTGAAACAGCCTTGTTCATATTTTCTCACGGCCCATATTAGTGACCTAGACATTGACGTAGATTAATGTCAACCAATTGGCTACCAGGCTGCTCTCACCACATATATATATATATTCTTCAAGTGGGAAAACCCTTTATGAGCATTATACTTAAATTATCTTATTCTCAGTCAAACCGGAAGTTGCTGTGACACCAATACGGTGACAGAATCACCAATGATAATCACAGATGTGACATTTATACGACAGGAACAACTGCATTCCTCAGTATTCATTTGAAATCAGTCTGCATGTTCACCACACCCCACAGGAGACTCTA